TAGCAATGATCTCAATCCATTGGAAGAAGCTATAAAACTTAGACACTGAGGACAGGTATGAGTGATCATTAAAGAGACCGAAAACACGCTGGCAACATGAAGTTGTCAATCATTATATATTCCTGTTTCTTGAACAAAATATATTTATTTAACAAAGGGTTGATGCAACTTCATGGAATAACTCGCCTAGCTGTTTGCATTGTTTTCCGTCAATCATTATTATTGCACAACATGAATTTAATTCAAAGTAGCAGAAATCTCCCTCGAGATGTTTATACCGTATACGAAGCTTATGTGCTGCAGAATCTGCGACGTTTCCGATCATACTCAACCCATCTTCAGAGTGCAAATTCAATTACCCTTGTGATTGGCCAGCGCAATGAGTTATGGTCAAGTGTTCCTGGATGAAATCACAACTAAAACTGCAGCCCATTCTCTCCGGTAGCTGGAGTATCGTCGACGAGGACAGTTAGTCAGGAATGAAGGCACAGGATGCCAAGAATACGAGAGCTACGGATCTGAGCTGCTACCGTTTAATAACGCCGGCAACGTGCAACTGCAGATCACTTCTAAGTGAAGAAGCAAGACATTAAGATATGGAAAAACTTATTTAAGTCAAATAGGCATTGTCTGACTCACCCAAATTAGACGAACAGAAAATGAGGCTGAAATGCAAGAATATGGGGAGTAGGGTTCGTCAACCAGGGAGGACGAACGAACATCATAATGCTAATCATTAGTACTTCAAAGAGGACTGCTACACTGGATTAAAGACAACATTATGCATCCTTTTCTGTGAAGTGATCATGGCCGCTTCAAAGCCTCAGCTGAAGCTGATCCAACAAATGGTGCGAAAAATTGTGAAAGGATTTGGAAGAGCATCGTAACTGCTTTCCGGAATGTAGACGAGATCAGCTACGCTAAAAAGCTTGACAAATGAATGCTCCACGAACTGCGCGAAAAACGAAATGGTTGCCATCCGATCTGCTCTTCGTTGATCATAATAGGCACAGATGCTCTACGTCTCGACGAAACGACAAAAATCGAACTCTGTATGACAACTTCAGGTGACTAGCAAAGCGGCAGAGCCGAATCGCCAAAACATATACCAAAATTTATTCTTCAACCGAAGAGGGTCATAAGTATATGCTGGTGGACTGAGGGTGGTGTCATACACTTGGACTTCCTAAAGCCCGGAAGTTGTCCGAAACATTCCTGACGAATGGAAGAAATCAAATACTACTCACAGACAGTGTGTCCTCATGTTTCATGGACCCTAAACCTATTAGGGTGTAAAGTTGTGTCCCTACTCCCTCACCTCCGCCCCTCTTGCACGAAAACTTCCCCCTTTTCAAATATCCGGACAATTTTCTCCAAAAGAACCGTGGTCCGGCAAAGGAGTGACTGAAATCGCTTTCGAAGGGTTTACTGATTCCCAAAGTCTAACGTAAATGTAAAAATGAGCTTGCATTTAGTCATCAATTCTAAGGGAACCTATTTTGGTTGATAATCTTCTTTTCAACAATGATATGGGATCACGAAGTTGCAGTTAAACACTCGACGAAATTGTTGCAACAACTTAGCACCAGACCTTCTATTCTAAGGATGGCTAGCGCTGTTTGACTGAAATATCTGCAGTTTGAATAACGACTTAAACCTGGTTTATAGCGACTGAATCAGCATCGCTTTTATTGATGAAAAAGAGGAAGTAGAAGACACAGATTTGAAATGAGTCTTCGAAACCAAATCCTGGCAGAGTTCATTAAGAAATCATGAGGGACAACGAACTGAGGACAGTTGGTAATGAGACAAAGAAAAACGAATGATATATTCTAACACGTAAAGGATTAGGGTAGACTCGAATATACCAGTCGAAAAGCAGTTAATAATTTATAATTAATTTTAGCATGTTCGAAACGCAGTTCCAATATATCGCGTACCAGCCATTTGGGCTCATAATATGCCTATCAGACGAATATTAAAACTTACGTTTCATTAGTAGCGAAGTTTTTCTTCTTGAACGTATCGATCTGCAGATGCTCAGCGCTGAGGCGTACTGGCCAGCCCGGGTAATCCGAAAATGGTCTTGAAAAGTCGGCGGATGCTTGTGAATGACTAACAGATGGATGAGCAACGGACGGACGACAGCGGCCAGACTGATGAACGACTAGCACGTCCAAAAACGGACGATAAATGATCGTTTTATAATCATCCTCCTGGGATACGGTAGCTTTGGGTGGCAAGACAAAATCGACTCTTGACGACGACAACGACAACAACGTAAACAGTGACAAAAGAGGTAGTTTCGGGGCTGCTTCCTGAAAAGTCTTCACGCGGCAGTAACGCAGCACTTACCTCGGTGGTGAGTTGCCGGGGATGCCGGTGGCGGTTGCCGAGTGCCGAGCGAGAGGAAAATGAGAAGAATGAGTTCGTGAAAGTGAGGTGATACGGGCGAAAGCACAGTGGTGTAATGATGAGTAGAAAGAAGAGATGAGAGGGAGGAGAAAGACGTACAAAACGCGGAGGATGGCAAGAAGAAACAGCGAGAACGAAGCACAGCACACGCTTACCTCGACGAAACGTTTGCAGTCCAAGGAGAAGGGTGGCGACCAGCAGGTGACGAACACGCGGCGATTGCATGATTGTTGCCTGAACGACAAGAGCGGATGATGTGAACGGCAGAGGTGGCAGAGCGGCGGTGGCGGCGCCGATGTTATGGACATAGTTTCGTTGTCGTCCTCGGTCGTTGTCGGTCGGTCGTCGCGCGGCACAGACTCGCTCGGTGAGTCGGTCGGTCACCAATCGCTAGCTGGTGGTCTGTGCGGATGAGCAAAACTCTTGAGGTGGTGGCGGTTTTCTCAAAGGACTTCGGAACGATCGGCGGTTACGGCCGCAAGGAAATTAGGAGAGCAGACGACAAGGACGACAAGAATCCACAACAGGAGGACAAATGCTCGTTCTTCCGAAGTGCGTCTCTGAGCAGATATTTGATAAACGGCGGTAGCACCGAGGTGAACGGCCGTGCGAGGAAGAAGGAAACTTTTCCAGTTACGTCTTGGTTCTTCGTTTCGACCGCTCGACTCCAAGCTGCAGATACTCACGCTGTCACGTCACTTGTCAGTTCGTCAGACGGTGGCAGGATTCGCTCGATTTCCGCTCCTACCGATAACACTCGTAAGACGAGGGACGAAACAAGTGTAACGTCAAAAGATACCGTACGTCTAGAACTTCTGGGCTTAGTTCTTGCCTGCCGCAGTGACAGACGCTTTAAAACGTAAGCAGTTGCACCACAGGCTGGAGGTCATCTCTGTGGAATAGTCGAGCTGCTGGTGGCGATCCGACGATGCCACTAGGAGGTGACGGTTACGGGAAGAACGGAACGGAACGGAACCACGGGAACCGAAGTGGAAACAAGCGGAATGGGCTGACTGATGGACACCGAGTTAAAGCACGTTTAATGAGGCATGGCGACCTCCTGTGCGTTTCGGCAGCGTTGTCGGCACGCAGCACTTGTTGTTATACTTCAATTTATAGCACTGTCAGTTGTGCCGGCTTTGCCGCCGCGCCTGCGGCGAAAAATCTGCTGCCGGTGGACGGACGGAGGACGAAACAGCAACAGCAGCAGGAGGAATTTTCGGCCTGCACCGCTTTTGCTCAGTCCGTCATCCGAGTGGGCATAAGCTAAAGCCGAGAGTTGCTTCCTTCCTCGCCGAGGCGCACGGAAAGCGGAAAGCGGAAAGCGCCAGCAGTCGTCCTCCGTCG